ATGAGAATGGGGTCAGGAAAAAGCCCTGGCCAAAATTCAGAACTGGATAAGGTTAAGAGTCATTCAAGCCAACCCCTCTTTTTATAGGTGAGGAAATTGGTCCCAAATTAGCTAACAGGTTTTCAAGGACACCCAAGTGGAGACATAAGGTCCATCTGCCCCCACCTGTTTCTCTGTGGTGGCCTCCACTGAGGACTGCAGCTGAGGCCAGGAGCTTGGAGAGCTTCATAAAGGACCTGATTCCAGGTGAGTGCTCTGGAAAAGTCATCCAAGAGAGCACAGAAGGGGCCCAGGATGATAGACAATCATGTAAGCTAGACCTTCTCTTCCTTAGCCAAATAGACATGTACCTGTTTCCAAAGATGCTTGGCAATCAGAGCTTCTGCTGATACTAGGGTTTCTTTCTTGGTGAACAAGTGTAGCTGCCACAGAGATTTATAAAGGTATGACTTTCTGGGGGTTTCGATGGGAAATATTCAGCTCTGGTCTTTGGATTATCTAAACCTGAGCTCTCTGGCACGGTAGCTGGTAATCACATGTGGCAACTTAATGTAAATTAATAAAATTAAATACAACCTATAATTCAGTGACTCACATTAGCCAGATTTCAAATGCCCGATAGTCATGTAAACAACACAGAGACCAGCATCCTTGCAGAAAGCTGGACTGGAGAGTGCTGCTCTAAAGGCAAGGGTTGACTGGGTCTCTTTTGATGCACTGATGCTTCAAAAGTATAAAAATTAAGGTAGCAGAGGGAGATCTACTTCATGCTAAAGCCAAGCAGAGTAGAGGGAGCAATATAGCTTCTTTAGTTTCCTTTGCCAGGGATTCCAGGGAGGGTTGAATGAATTTTGCACATTTTGCTACTGCTTTTTTTTCATTCATAAGGGTCCCTACTACCAGATCTGTGTCTGAAGAAGAGATGAGACACATGCACAGTTTGGAATGAAGGAAATTTCAATACTTTATGAAAATCTATAAGGATTCTGAGAACCCACCAAAGGTAATAATATCAAATGCAAATTACTAGGCAGTATTCGAGTATGCTGGAAAAAATAAAAATGTTGATTGTTTAAAAGGTGAATGGGAAAAACAATCCTATTGACCAGAAACCTGGACTTTCACATCAAACAAAAGAGAGAATACAAAATGAGGATCTATTACATTTTAACTGAAGCTTTGCCTCTGAGACAGATGTAGCTAAACATTAACTAGGGCAGTGTGGTAAAGTACAGATTAAGATGCAATTATGCCTCATGTCTTCCCCTTTCAGGGTGAGAGCTTGTTTATGTCAGGGCACAGATAAGGGGAAGCACCATGTGATGGGTGGTACCTATGTGGAAACATGAAATTTCTGGAGCCTTTATAGATCTTGTGTTCCCAGGAGGCCAGACCTAAATGTCTGTCTTGCTTGCACACCTCCTGCATAGTCATGCATCTGTGAGCATTTAATGAGTATAATGTGATGAACACAGATGGAAAACCATACCTGAATCAAACTCTAGTAACAACCAATGGTCGAGTGGGTTGGTGAAAGGACCGCATCCAGCTGCATCAACCCATCAGCGGGTACTGTGAGCATGTCCCTGCAAACCTCCAGCCCCCAGGTGAGGTTTTTGGCTCTCTGCTGTTGCTGCTAAAGGTCACAGGGTAAAGCTGGGAATCCCACCACCCTGGCATTTTAAGGAACATATTCTTGGTGGTTTTATCCAGGAAACTGAAACATCTGTTCCCTCTCTGAAAAGTGCCTGGAGAGGAAATATGAAGGAATACTTGGTCAGGTGTCCTTCAAGGAAAGAGCATATATTGAAGGCTGTGTGTAAATATGACACATCAAAACAGAAATTCTCAACTACTGGCCCCTTGAGACTTTTCATCAGAATCGCTTAAAATGTATGTTACAAATACAGACTCTCAGACACTACTCCAGACCCAAGGAATCTGATCTGTAGGAGGATGGTACCCTAGGATCTGAATTTTTAACACTTGCCCTAGGTGATTCTGACGCAACCTTGGATCTGGGACTGTCTAGCTGGAAACACCCAACTTTCCACTGGGGTGTGGCTTGGTAACAGCTTTCTCTTAGTATGGTTTACAAATCCAATTTATGTTTCCTCACATCCCTTCCCATCAAAGGAATGGAATGTAGCATGGGATTATCTATTATTATTTCACAATTAAGCATAATGACGTGAAACATCCTAGGTGAGTCAGTGATATGGCCAGGAATCTCAGCTTCACTAGTTAGCTGCTCTCTAGTCAGTCGGTGTTTTCGTTCACAAACCCATCGACTCCACCACTGATCCTGGCCTTTTCGTAGACAGATTTCCCTGCAGGTCAAGGATGTGGACTCACAAAATATAGAAAAAAGTGGTGTCTGGCTCCTAACCACTGCACCTCTGGTTGAAACCAAACCAATTGCAGCCAAATCCCTGAGATTCCAGTCTAGACGAAAACAAGGCTGACAGGTCTGAGCCAGCCCCAGTCTGGAGAATTTCCCTAAAGATTCATTTTCCATGTGGCACATGTGGGATTTGTGTTCAGTTCCCAAGAGTCCTTGGAAGTTCTAGGTTAAAGCAATTCTAAGTCCTCCCTGGCCTGGCGGGGCCTTGTTCTGAGTGAGGTAGGAGAAATCTGGTCTCACTCTGAATCTTCCCTTATCTGATAAAGCACTTTGAGCTCCTGGAAGTAAAAGTAGCACGGGAAGGGTGATGGTAAGTGGTGTTACCATTATTTATTGAGTGCTGCCCCCTAGAGGATTAAAAATGGTCCGGCCACTTGGAGTCCCCTGGACTCTGGAAGACTCACCTCTCTCTCCCGCCACCAACTGCAGGAAATGAGGCCTTCACTCAAGGGGATTGCTGAGAAGTCTTGTAGCAGAGTTATGGAGAACTCCCAGAACTAAGTTAGCACCCCCTTTTGGAGACTTCTGGAAAATGGAATTCCATAATACTGGGAACCAGGTTCAGGGAACAGAACAGGGAAACAGATCCTGACTTCTCCCTAAGAGACCAAGGACCCTGGTGGGGACCCTCAACCCTGAGACCCCAAGACCAGAAGTCCAGAGTTGTCGCTCTTATGGTTCCCAGAGGGCTTCAGTTTACTTAGAAAAAGGAGAGAAATCTCTTCCCTCTTCATAGTGCCCTTCACCTAAACTCTGGCTGTTGTTCCCAGAAACAGGATTCTCCCACGTCGGGCACTTACTAGAATGGTTTGGCATGCCTGGGAGTTGTGGGGGGAGGTGATACTAAATGATCCTCTGTTCAGGGACTGTCACTACAGATAGTGTTATTTGTCCTTAGATTAGCATTTTGGCAATGACATAAACTGGAATCTCTGCTCAAGGTTCAAAATCCAAACTGCCTCTTTACTTCATTAAATATTTGAGGCTGCAAGTCATTTTTTACAATTGAACTTAAAACAGGAAAAATGTAAATCTGGAGTTTTTAATAATGTGGATGTGCTCTTCAGTGAGGAAGGAAGGAGGGAAGGAGGAGAGGGAGGGAAGGGAGGGAAAGGAATGAAAAGTAGCCTTTGGGGGTGCCTCCTGGAAGAACTCAGAGGCCTCTGTTAAGTCCCTTTCCGACCAGGCATCTGAGATTAACAGTGTGATACTCAGCCTGTGGACTTACCCTGTAAAACCCCTCCGTGGCTTGGCTCAACTATTTGCAAATCACTTCTGATTCAATTCTGTTTTGGTTATCTCAGTGTAAATAACAGTTAAGTGGGAGTTACAGATTTTTCAAACACTAAAAGTGATAAACAAAGCTAATGGCAAGTCCAGATAAGGAGGGAAACCACCCAGGAGAATCCACAAGTACAAGCAAAGAAAATGGAATAGTTGTGTGTGTGTGTGTGTGTGTGTGTGTGTGTGTGTGTGTGTCTTGTCACTGAAACTTTTTCTTAATTTACAGAAAACTTTCTTAATTTTTAAAAACCTTAATCTGAAAAAAAGTTTTCTTAATTTTCTCATTTTTCATATACCTTTTCTGTTGCAGAAAGGGTGTTCTTCGGGCTGTTTCTGTTGGTCTTTATGATAATGTAGTAATAGGTGCCCTGTGTAGCAAGACAGTTTGGAATCCACGAAGCCATCCTCAGAAACAAAGATACAAGTGTTTCCCCAACTGTTAGCTTGCTGCTCCCTCTAAACAGTTTTCACGCCTTCATTTAAAAATAGTTGGCATAATGCTGTTTCCTTTCTCTGGGCCGTTGTGACCGCATCGCCATGGGTGGGGGCAAATGTGAATAGAAGTAGTTACAGTAGCATTTTCCTGAGAGGCTCCATGTACCTGTACTTTTTTGGGGGGAGGGGGGAGCTTGTGGGAATCCAGTTTAATTACCTGAAGAAATTCTTTGCTGAAGAGAGTGTTTCTTCCTCTTATGATAGCTACAAGTTAAGGGCGCAGGGATAACTAAACCCTCCCCCAGACAGGAGAGGAGCGTGTTTGGAACACAACAAAGGATCTGAGTAGTAAGAGCTGGGAGTGTTTGGGGTTTTATTCAGCCCGGGCTGACGGTGTGTGTCGCCGCCACGCACTGCTGCCTGTGCGGACGCATGGCTGAGCCGCCGACTGGCTCCCTAGCCCGCACACCGTACGCCCCCAACTCCTCTTGTAACGCCATCGCGCGTGGCGTTGTGTTGGGCTCTGCGTGTGTGGCATTGGCGTCCAGGAATTTAGGGGGAACGAGGCTGTCCCCTGCTCCCCACGGAGTCCCCCTCGGGCGGGGGCGACGCGGCCGAGGGCAGCGCGCCCTGGCGGTGCCGGGGGCGCTCCTTCCCCGGGGCGCTCCGCGCGGGCGGTGCGGGGCTGGCGGGGGCGGGGGCGGCTAGGTGGGGGCTGCCGTAACTGGCTCCTCCGCGGCGGCCGGGGAAGCCGGCGCCCCGCCCGAGCTGGGTGCGGCGGCGCTCGGCTCTGCGCCGCGCGGCTCCGCGGCTGCCTCTTTAATCAGGAACACAGAAGGGGCGGGCCCTGAGCCGGCGCGTAATCGGATAGCTCTGCCGCGGCTCTGACATCCACATGCTGCTCGGCCTGAAAAGGCAGGGGGGAGCCGGAGGGGAGGCAGAGAGCGCGAGCGAGGCGGCAGCCCGCAGCCCGCCCCAGCACATCCTCAGCCGCGCAGACACTCGGCGAGGCGCTGCGCGAGGTGGAGGTGAGGGCGGGCGCGAGCGAACTCGGAGAGGGGCTCGCTCGCTCCCTGGCGATCCCAGCGCCGCCGCACCACCACCAGCAGCAGCAGCGGCAGCGGCAGCGGCAGCGGCAGCGGCTTCCTTCCCCAGGCTCCCCTCGAGAGGCTGGCCGAGCGGGTGTAGCCGTTGGGGGAGGCTCCCGCTAGGGGAACCCGGAGAGCTCCAGAGCAGGGCGGCCGCCTCCCACCCCGGCCGGCCGGCGGTCGGTGTCCCCGCCCGCGTGTCCGTCCCGGGTGCCGGGCGACGTGTGTCAGTTTACGCCTCTGAGATCTCACAGCTGCCTGGGGGCCGTGTGATGCCCAAGGCAAGTCTTGGCTTTAATTATTATCATTATTATTATTATTACTACGCTTGGCTTTCGGGAAATATTCGTGATGTTGTAGGATAAAGGAAATGACACTTTGAGGAACTGGAGAGAACATAGATGCGTTTTGTTTTTGAGAGGAAACCGTCCCCTCTTCCCGGCTTGCTCTCTCTCTGCTGATTTCAGGAGCTGCCCTCCTCCTGGCGAGGTGGGGATTCCAGCAAGAATAAAGGTGAAGACGGGCCGCCAGGCCCCAGGAGAGAAACACTGACCATTAGAGACTTTGGCAGAAGACACTGTAAGGAAGAAAATAAGACAGAGAGAAAAACACAAAGACTTATAAGCAATTATACAAGAAACCTACAAACCCAGCTCTGGAGAAAGCCTCCGTCTCCAAAATGGATATGTTTCCTCTCACCTGGGTTTTCTTAGCTCTCTACTTTTCAGGACGCGAAGTAAGAGGCCAACCAGGTAAGCCCCCGAAAGTTTTTTCTATTCATTTCAACATGGTTTCCCCTCTAGAAGCGGCTGCTAAAGCAGGGAGGCCAAGCAGAATGGCACAGAAGGAGGCTCCCTCAATACTCAATAATTTAAAGAGAGATCCCAGCCGGCCCTCCCTACACCACCGCGCTGCTAAAACCCAACTTTCCTCTCCTGCTAGGAGTGTGTGTGAGTGTGTGTGTTGAAACAGACAGAATTTGGCCGTGTTCAGATGTCACATATGGACTGAATCAAAGGTTTAAAAATACTACAAAGCCTTCGCATTACAGTTTTTGGGGGATTTTTTTTTTCCTGTCTTGAAGCAGAACACATCTCCCTTGAGTTTCTTCAACCTAGCCAGTGAAATATAAATCATTTGCATTCCCCCCACTTAGCTACATTGAGCAATATTAACTGAAGGGCTTGGGAAAGACAAGAGTTTCATTTTGGTTTTCAGATGCTGTAGATTCTTTGCAGAATGGGCGGATACGCCTCAAAATTGTAGTGCTCAGGCTGGTGGAGCAAATTGGCTAGCAGCGGAGACAGGGGCTTGGGCTGGGCGCTGCTGGCAGCCAAGGCGGTTGGTCGTCCCTGCTTTCTTTCCTGTATCCATGTGTTTCCTGGGAAAGTAAATCATATGTTCTTTTAAAAATTCTTATTAGATCAAACACACTGAAGGCCCTCGAAGGTCCTCACTCCTGTGAAGTGGTTAGAAACTTTTGAGTGGAATTTGTTATCAACCACTGCCAAAAAGGCAGTGTGTGGACAGTCTGCTGCTACGGAGATAAGCACTGTGAGGCCCAGAACAGTCTGGGACCAGCATTTGTGGGGAGTGGCAAGGGGTACACTCTGAAAAGGGATCTCTGGTTTTGTGGGGCATCCAGTGGGGCTTCCTTCCTTCCCAGGACCCAACTCCAGGGTGAGCCTCTCTCCCCTCTGAGAACAGGGTCTGGAATCTGACAACAAAACTCTTAGCAGCTGCTACAGGTGATTGGGGATGGGGAAACCATCTATGGATGAAATAGGGGAAAGAAAGAAGAAAAAAACCTTGCAGAAGTGCCCTTACCCCCAGGCACTTGGAAGGCAATGGCTGCAGTTTTCGGGCTAAATCCTTGCAGGCTGTGGGGCATCCCCAGCTCATTGGCCAGTGGGTCCTAGCTTTGCCTTTGGTGCTCTGGTTCTCACCCCTCTTTCCTCCCACCACACACACACACACACACACACACACACAACACACACACCCCACACTTTAAGCTTGGGTGTTTATTTGAGGGGGAGGAAAATTCAGGAGTGACTTTGCCACCCAAATCCACATGTTTGTAGCTCCTTTCCTGCCATAACTGGTCTTCAGGGCAGCTGCAAAGCCTATCAAAGGGATGGGTGCAGGTCCCACTTGGAGAGATTTTCTGGGCCTCCCCCATTCCCTCTTGCCTTAATTCTAAATTCCCAGCTTGAAGCGAAATTAAATTACATCCCACAGACCTGGATGCTGTGTAAATTATGTATGTTTGTGTGATTTGCCCTGCGTGTGTGTGTGCGCGCGTCTGTGTGTCTGCATGCGCGCGCTGTAAGGATGCCCACGGTATATTATGTATTCAGACGCGGACTCCGGTAGGCCCCGGCGCGCGAGTGCGCGCACACATGCAACTTCAGGTTCCGTGTGCTGCGCGGAGCCGGAGGGGTCGTGAAGACTCAGAAGCCATCCCTTACCCCAGATGTTTGCACATCTGTCCCCGAGCGCTGCATGGAGCGTGTGTGTGCGCGACAACCGCTCGGACCCACTCCCGCTCTGCCACCTGCCTCCCGCGCTCTCCGCAGAGCCCCCTCCCATCCCAACCCCTGGCCCCGCTGCGTCACTTCCAGAGAAGCCCAGAGGCGCGGAGTGTGGGGCAGGTCACCCACTACGAGGCCCCGGGCAGCCTCGACCCGGGGTGGGACCCGGAACTGAGACCTCCCCGCGGTGGATATTCTGCAGTCCCCCAAAAATGCGATCGCAAGCCGTGGGCTGCTCAGGCTTTCAGGCGGAACAACCGAATGGCACCCGGGGTGCTGGCAGCCGGTGGCAAAGGGCGAGGCCAACCTAGACCTCTGACTCACTGGATGTGCTCTGGCCGGGAGGGGGGCCGGCCCAGTGGTCGGGGGCAGGGGCGGCAGCAAGAACCGATTCCGAGGCGGAGTCGGGAAAGGGGTCGGAAGGTGCGCAAATAACACGGTGGTTGCGGCGCGCGGGTGGCTGAGAGGCCGGGTGGGCACCGCGCACCAGGCTCCCCCACTCCTCGCCACGTCGCCTCTCCAGATCCCAGTGCAGCCGCCTGCCTCTGCACTGCCCGGGCTTGGGGACTCGGGGCCGATCGACTAGCCCTGCCCGGGGCACCCCTTCAAGCCCCCCGCGCTCCGCTGCCGCATGCTCGCTGCGGCCCCTAGAGAGCCGGCTTTGAGTGACTGAGGCCCAAGGCCTGGGGATCCAGGCGCTGGTCGCGCTGGGCGGTGGGAAGCTGGGTGGGATTTGGGCGAGGAGGGCGGAGAGAGGAGGGAGGCAGCCCGCTTGAGCCGCAGGAGTGCGCGCAACTCGCACAGCCTCTAGAAGCGCGGCGCGCCGGGCGCCCGCGGCTGCGGCGGAACAGGTGAAGAGCACGCGGCGCGGGCTTCCACGTGGTGGGGACGCGGTAGCCCCTCAGCTCTCCCCCTGCACTCCCCCCAGCGGCGTCTCTAACGCCGCATTGATTTGTTTGGGCTACGCAGCAGAAACAGAGCCGAGCGATCCATAAACATTCTATTAAGCAAAAATATATCCCCAGCGAAAGCAAAACCGGGACTGAAGGCTCTGCGAAGTTGGCCGCTTCCAGCTACTCCCGTCTTGTCCCCTCCTCCCCTGTCTAAGGACACCCCCAGGGAGAGGCCTGCGGCGTTTCCTCGGCGCTGCCCAATGCGGGAAAGTTAGCTCTCGGCTGCGGCTTCCTCCTCGGGAGGAGCCTCTGCAGTCGCCGGCGAGGTCCCGCCTTCCCTCCCCGGCCGCCTGGCTCTTTGCTTTCGCACGTGAGAAGAAATATTCACGGCCAATGCTTCATGTTCACTGATTGGTTTCTCTTTAATACCAGCATAAGTTAATGGAGGTGAGGCGCGGCGCGGTCGAGCCTGGGCTGCCTGCGCCGTAGTCGTTCCCGCCGGGTCTGGGCTGGGTGGGGGCCCGGGCAGGGCTTACGGGTTTTGGGGGGAGGGGGAGAGGTCGAATGGACTGATCAGCCCTCCGGGAATAGTCGGGGGCGGGGGTGGGGGTAGGGATGGGGCGGGAATCAGCCTTCCAGACCAAGTTTAGGGGATCCGGCCCATCCGTGTTGCAGCTCCTGCGGCGCCGGTTGCGTTTCTTCTGCAAGGGTAGGGGATCGGCGCTCTGGCTTACTGGCGTGTGCTCCCTGCTCCGCTCCCTCCCTCCGCCTCCCTTCCTTTCAGTCTCAGACAGCGAGCAGAGCCCCCTGGCGCTAGCCATTCCCTGTCAGCGCCGGCCGCCAAAGTCTCCTTTGCTAGAGTTAATCACGATCTGCGGGGGACTGAGTTTTGCTCAGGAAATCATTCGGGTCCTGACAATGAGTTTCTTCGAGTGGTGGCAACTCCCAGCCCTAATGTCCCCACCTCCGGGACACACCGCTTGGGGCCAAATGAACCCAGACCCCATAACCACCTCCCCCTCTCCCCCTGGCTAGGAGAGCTTTGATCTGTGCTTGGGTTTTAACACCATTGCCATGGACTCGGGCAGATTCGGTCAACTCAACCTTCTGTCTGGACTGGATGATCAGATAAGAGGTGTAAATTGGTTTGGGAGACAGGTCTGGGTTCAAACAAATCCTGAAAGGGAAGCAATGACGGTCTGGGCGCCGAGTTTGAAGGGTTTGAAGAGTTTCTTTTAGCCTGTCTCCCCAAAATGCAGGGTGGCCATGGGTGAGCATAATAGTTTGCAAGTAAAACTGTCAACTCCTAGGTTTTACACAGACAGCCTGCTCTAGGCCCTGGGGACTGGTCTCATGCCCACATTAAATGAGTGCCCAGTCAACTTTTCCCCAGTAAGCAGTCCCTGGAGGTAGCTGCGAGACCGTTGCCAACAGAGCACACAGTGCAAAACAGTGGAAAGGGGGGCGCTCCCCACAGGGCTCCCCGGCAGGCCCCTGCTTGTCCCAGATGTGACTAGTAGAATTGTCAGTGCGGGGGCAGCTCTTCAGGTTTGGAGCTTTATGTCATCCCATGGAGCCCTCAGACATTAAGCCACACAGCACTCAACTGGCCAGAGGAAAGACTGGAGGGCTGCAGTGAGTGGAACCCAGGCTACCCTGACAGGACTCCTGCCGTTTACCAAATGGCTCTGATCCCCTGGTGTTGCAGGTGTAGTCCATATTCTGCAAGGGAAAGGCCAGTTCCCATCTTCATGGCATAGAAAAAGCTGGAGTCCAAATGCCAATTCATATGCAGTGAGGCATGAACACAGATAGCAGTTAGGGTGGGCTGTGGGGAGGAGACACCATGGACTAGATGATTCTGAGGCCCCAGGTGTTTTTCATCTCACTCAACTGTTCAGTAAAGCCATCAAGAAAATGAACTGACTTGGGGTGACCCAAGGGTGGGACAATTCTGAATTGACAGAATTCAGAACTCTTCACCGGTAAAGGGTTTTCAGAATATATTCCCCAGAGGTCCAGTTTGGAAAGACTTTAGGAACTAAAAATGAGATTTTTCCTTTTTTAAAAAGGGCAAAAGCAAAATACCTTTTTAATTTCTTGAATGGACGAGAAAGGACTTGAAAAGGGACACCTGGGCAATAGTTGGTAGTATCATTAACATATTTGAGATATTTTATCATCTGGCCATCATTTGCCACTGGATAATCTTTGAGGCACCCTCCTTGAGTGGCAGATGAGTGTTTTGATCCCCAGAAATTAGTCGTTGTATTCCTTCCAGGTAAGGACTTAACTATTTGCTTTTTTTTTTTTTAATTAACCCAT